CCTGAGGGACGGACCGGGCCTGCGGGCAACGGCCCCCACTGCCTAACGTCACTTTCTGAACCTACAAGAAAATCTAGCTGTCTTCCAGCCGCCGAGGCTCACAAACGGCGCCTGTCTGTCTGTCTGTCTGTCTGTCTGTTGTCTGTCTGTCTGTCTGTCTGTGTCTGTCTGTCTGTCTGTGTCTGTCTGTCTGTGTCTGTCTGTCTGTGTCTGTCTGTCTCTGTCTGTCTGTCTGTGTCTGTCTGTCTCTGTCTGTCTGTCTCTGTCTGTCTGTCTCTGTCTGTCTCTGTCTGTCTCTGTCTGTCTCTGTCTGTCTCTGTCTGTCTCTGTCTGTCTCTGTCTGTCTCTGTCTGTCTCTTTCTGTCTCTGTCTGTCTCTGTCTGTCTCTGTCTGTCTCTGTCTGTCTCTGTCTGTCTCTGTCTGTCTCTGTCTGTGTCTGTCTGTCTCTGTCTGTCTCTGTCTGTCTGTGTCTGTCTGTGTCTGTCTGTGTCTGTCTGTGTCTGTCTGTGTCGTCTGTCTCTGTCTGTCTGTGTCTGTCTCTGTCTGTCTGTGTCTGTCTGTGTCTGTCTCTGTCTGTCTCTGTCTGTCTCTGTCTGTCTCTTTCTGTCTCTGTCTGTCTCTGTCTGTCTCTGTCTGTCTCTGTCTGTCTCTGTCTGTCTCTGTCTGTCTCTGTCTGTCTCTGTCTGTCTCTGTCTGTCTCTGTCTGTCTCTGTCTGTCTCTGTCTGTCTCTGTCTGTCTCTGTCTGTGTCTGTCTGTGTCTCTGTCTGTCTGTGTCTGTCTGTGTCTGTCTGTGTCTGTCTGTGTCTGTCTGTGTCTGTCTGTGTCTGTCTGTGTCTGTCTGTGTCTGTCTGTGTCTGTCTGTGTCTGTCTGTGTCTGTCTGTATCTGTCTGTCTCTGTCTGTCTCTGTCTGTCTCTGTCTGTCTCTGTCTGTCTCTGTCTGTCTCTGTCTGTATCTGTCTGTATCTGTCTGTATCTGTCTGTATCTGTCTGTCTGTATCTGTCTGTGTCTGTCTGTCTGTCTGCCTGTCTCTCTGTCTCTCTCTCTCTCTCTGTCTCTCTCTGTCTCTCTGTCTCTATCTGTCTGTCTCTGTCTGTCTGTCTCTGTCTGTCTCTGTCTGTCTCTATCCGTCTCTGTCAGTCCCTTGAGCATTCTTCAGGGCAGGCCTTCTCCAGCGCGCTCCCCCAGCATCCGGCTGGGGTCGGCGGATTCCATGGACTTCTCCCTGAAATCCACGGTTTTCAACGAAGGTCACTCGATGTCTTTCACGCCCCGAACGCTTCAGGCACAGCGGTCAGCAGCGAGACTCCGGACAAGGTGGCCAAGGCTGCAGGGATGTTGGATTCTTGAATTTCCCACAGGGATGAAGATGTCATTCCCATAGGATCCATGTATGGTATATATACTAACATTGGAGGTATATTGATGGTAAATGTTACCATATATAGCATACATGGATATATGGGTATAGAAACTATTGTTATAAAAGGTCTTATCCTTTGAAAATCTGTGGGACAACTATGTTACAAAAGGTTTTATCTCTTGAAAATCTGTGAACTGCTTTGAGGCCTATGGATCCATGTGTTTTTTTGTCCGATATTCTTTCACAGCTGGGATTGGAACCCGTAAATAAAATTAAATAAAGGCAGCTCTGGGAGATTCGTGTCTGGGGCTGTCTATTCGATTGGCCACGGCCCAATCCTCCAGTCTGTTGGACTCGGGTTTAGATGGTTTAGGACTCAAAATGACCAATAATTGGGTTGCCGTTACCCTCTGGTAATGACTAACAGTTTGCTATCGAAAATGGCCATTGAAATAGTGAGTTTTCCCATTGAACATGGTGATTGTCCATAGTTTTTTGTATGTTTACCAGAGGGTACTTCATTTTATATATTCTACTGCCTGCATTCCGAATGTTGGTTTGTATTGAACAACCTCCACGAAGTTGTGTTGTTCAAGCCTCTGTTCTTCGTTTCAAGAATTGATGTTTGCTGGTCCAAAAACCAATGTATTCCTGGAATCTACACTCATGCACCATTGTTGTGATGTGTTCTTTGATTCTGAATCTTATATAATCGTATAATATATTATAATATATATCATAATTGTATATATATAATTATATATTTGATTGGTGTATGCATGTATCTATGTTACATTCCTTCGTCGGTGTATCAGTTATGTGCTCATATGATATATGTACGTGTTTTATCCAAATTGTTGATGTTATGCCGCATTTTCTTGCTTTGAGTGCATCCCTTTGGAAAAACCTGAGATGTGATGTCAAAATCATCAAAACATTCAAAACCAAAAAATCGGCATTTCGTTTGTATGCCACTCAAACCCAAACATTGAAGTAGCTGCTAGTAGCTGTTGTTTCTCGTTTGGCAATCGTTTGGGCAAATCTTGGTATCCGCTGACAACCCCTTAAAGCCCAGGCGAAGGTGGTCAAGCGCCGCGGCCCGAAACGACGGCCAGCAGCTCCGGTGACACCGGCACCCTCTGAGGCGCCAGGAAACGACTCAGAGAAACGGGTGCCGTTTTCGAATGAGTGTGGGTCAATTTTGTTGTGAATTGTATATGAAAATTATCATTGATTTATATCATATTATATATTATTATTATTAATTATTATTATTAGTAGTATAGTATTATTATTATTATTGATATATTTTAAATATGAGTATATACAATTATTTAAAAACACATTTAAGTTAGTAATTATACTTCTTGTACATATAGGATCCATGGTGTTGGTATATATGCTAACATGACTGGGGTATATTGATGGGGTAAATGTTGACCCATAGCAAAATGGCCGTTCTGAGCACAACATGTTGCAATCACTGGTTGGTGGTTTGGAACATGTTGAATATTTTTCCCATAATACTTGGAATTTCATAAGCCCAATTGACGAACTCATATTTTTCAGAAGGGGTTGAAACCACCAACCAGATAGGGTTATAGGTATAATCACCAACCAGATGGTTATTGCACCACCAACCAGATCATGTTTGGGATGAGACAAACCTTGCCTTAGTTGACCAAGAGTTTTGCGCATGTTTAGCCTTCAATGCAATAGCCTGGATTGGGAGGATGCTCTTTCAGCACCCCAAACCATGGGGTTTGGCCGGAAAGCTGATGATCCTTTTGTGAGGAGACAATTTGTGTAAAACTGTTTAGTTTGGTTATTAATTTAATTATCATATATCAGAATGATGATTGATAGCGTTTGACTAGCTTGTTTCCAAAACAATATCATTATATTGTGATATATTGTGTATTATGTTTTGGGAAAGCTCCATAATGCTGAAAGCAGAAAAACGCAGATACATCTATGCAATGTATACCAATGTAATCCAATGTATATTATATATATAGTTGCATGTAATTAATACGATCTTATATATCTAAGATACATGTACCCCATATGCTCCATGGTGCTGGAATATTTACCAACATTTGCCCTAAAAATCAACCAGTTTTGTAGGTAAATATACCATACATGGAGCATATGGGTACAGTACATGGGAGGCTGCCTGACTCGGAGGCACCTGCCGTTCCGTCGCCGGCCGCTGTTCCTTCAGCGACGACAGCGGTGGCGCTGCGGAAGAAACGCAAAGGCCGAGGTCAGATGGCAGCGTTTTTCCAGGGACTTCCGCGATTTCCCCAGACTGTTTATGGTGGAAATTTGGGGAATATCGGGGAATTCAATGGAATTCATGATTCAAACAGCCATAAAATTGGGATGTTTAGCAAAGAATGGGATTTAACAGTCGGAAATGGCTACTACAGTATACGTAAACCTAGCCTTTTTTGGGGGATACGACGGTGATGTAATGGGTTACAACAAGCAACAGTCAGTATGATCAATGGGGATCGTTCAGAAAAAGGGTGATTGTCTAGCAAAAACTTGGATTTAACTATCCAAGCCACAAATTCACAACAAATGATGGTTAGAGAAGTGGATAGAGGTTGGTCTAGGAATAAGATATTTACTTCAATTTTTAGTTATTAAAATTATTAAATAATAGATTAGATGTCAAATTTGGGGATAGCCAATTTGTGAGGAACCCACTGAGCGTGGATGTCCCGCGATGTCATTTTCACATTGGTCGGTTGGTGCAACGGTGCGAAAAGAAGGGCGCCCTCCCAATTTGAATTGAAATAAGACGTGTAGATAATGGTAAATGTTATACGTAACCAACTTGTTTGTTTTCAAAGTTCTGAATGGGCTATATAGACATATCGTTTTTTTTGGATATATAGTTTTAAACATTGCTTATCCAATCAAGACACAGAACGCAATGGGATTAAAACCAAATATCCAGGTGCAAGCCGATCGAGAATCGGTTCAAGGTAGAATCTGCACTGAACAGGCCACCTATATCTCAGGTATTGGATAGATAAGAACGACGGAGCAAACCCATGGAAAACACAACAAAAAATGCGGAAAAAACACTATGGAAATAGCAGCAACAATGTTCCATAACAAGCGCGTTCAAGTTCGACGATGCAAAAATCCGCGCCAAGGGGAAAGTCTAGACAGAGACGACAGAGACAGAAGAAAAAGGTACAAAACAACTACGAACAAGCAAGATCCACAAGACATGCCGGCAGACCAGCGGATTAAAATGTTGATTTTCCGGAGGGTATTTGATGTTAGCACTAAAATGACAACCACGCGTTGATGTTTGCTGTCGACTCAGCTTGTGAGTCGAAGCTGCTTGGCTAATGCAAGCCAGGACCAAACCTGTGGATCCAACTTGGTTTTTTTAAACACTGACTGACTCTTTAGTTGATACATGAATTTGTTTGCAAACTTGCGAATTTGATAGAGAAAATACGGGAACACCCTGGGAAAGCGATGATTAACCAGTGGATCCGAAGGTACCCTGTTTTCAGACAGACATTCAAAGACCAACTGATTCCTCCGAGCAACCAATGGGCCATGATGGCCATGATTGGCGGTGTTCTCACTTAATCTCCCTTAAATGGCTGAGTTTGAACAGTACATCTTGCAATTTTACAAATAAATGTGCAATAACATATATAATTATATATATAGATATATACACGTTTTGTTTGAGTTTTGCCTCGTTTTGGACCCAACTCAAGGAATTCTCCACAGGGTCTGCTGCAGGCAGTCCTCCATCCCAATCCTCCGTGCCAACTGGCGCACCGGCCCCAGTGCCGCCGGCAACTGCAGCTGCACCAGCGGCTGCACTGGCTGCGGAGGAGTTGGCCGCAGCCCGAGCGTTGGTGGCGGAATTGACGATTCGAGGGCGAGAAGCCTGTGAGGCGGGACACTGGTACTTACCCCTCTGGTAAACTAACATAACTATGGGAAATGTTCGTTTTTAATGTTAGTTTACCAGAGGGTAGTTGGTAGGGACTGCGGTGATGGGATGATTGTAAACATAGTGACGGATTATGGATCATTCCCCCAATTCCGTACTTTTTTAGCACCACTAAGTCGCCATGGTTCAGCTAGTGGCAGGGTGGTAGATTTGAAGATTTCACTCCAGCCACATACTGTACCCAAGCAATTTTTGAAGCAGAACCGCAGTTGTATGGGTGATGCTGGAACGGGGCTGACGGCGATTCTGATATTTTGGTGTGTAGAAAGGTGGAAGAGATATGAAGAGATTAGAGCTACAACATCCTGACAATGGTGTGAGTACTGAAGGGATGTTGCTGTGATGTGGAAAGAAACTGTTTAAATCATGAAGGGCAGATGTATTTACCGTTTGTCAATGGCAATCAGACAGTTGTAAACTTAGTCTTGGGGGATTACATGTTTGCCTTGTGCCCTTGATGTTTCAGACTGCTGGGTACGTTCTAAATCTTCTAAGCATGTCATGCAACATTGTCAAAAAAAAACACTAGAACAACCAAATCAAATCAATTTAAGCACCATGGAAAGGGATTGTTGAACCGGGCTGGTATAGTAAATACAGTAGACCATAGTAAACCTAGAAAATCAGAAAATCTTTCACCTGCAGCCTTTTCTCGTGCCATCTCCTGCTTCAATCAAAGCTGAACATGATTTTGATGAGTTTTGGGGGTATCCGATTTTTGAGAAACACGGAGCTTCACGGGAAGCCCAAGAGCATTTTTTTTGAGGGGGATAAAACTGGAAATCATTGGTGTACCTTTTCAACTGACCCATTTTGGATAAGTTTTTGGACAATGTCCTCCATTTTCAGAAACCCCAAAATTGGAGCGGTTAGCAATTGATGATATAAACGTATGAACCATTTCTGGGGATATTCCATGTAGAACGTAGAAAAGAACCTCGGTGAGTGGGATGAGTAGGAAGGCCCATGATCCATTTGCCATTTGTGGTGGTCTGATCCTCGTCAAAACCTGGACCAATTGCCCGGATTCCCATCGGATCATTGGGGGACAATTGCCATTGTTTCTTCACCATGGCACATTGAAAGAGCCCAGAACTTCAGTGATTGGGTTTACAACACTTTTGTTATGATCCATGTTCAGCTACTAAACCTTACTAAACCTTAACAATAGCTAATCACACTGAATGGGCCCTTAGAATCGTGATTGTTGGTGGTTAAGATTTGTCATTGATAAGCCCCAAACAAATTTGGGTCTCCTTTGAGGAAGTTGGTTGAATCCCCATGATAGTATTCATATCCTTGATTAACATTGGTTAGCCATATTTTAGAGCTGACGCTCATCGTCGGCTCCGCCGGATTACTTGACCCTCGATGTCATCGAAGGGTTTTTCCTAAAGAATTGCTGCCAACTTCACCTTTCCACTTCGTGTAAAAGCGCCTCTGTGTAAAGACTTCTCTGTGTAAAAGCTTCTGTGTGTAAAAGCTCCTTTGTGTAAACGCGTTTGTGTGCAAAATCGCTATAAACCTCCATTTAGTTCAGGGATTTTACCATGATTTTCCCATGATTTTCCCATGATTTTCCCATGATTTTCCATCTGTTTCCTATATTTTCCACAGTTTTCCCAATGTTTTCCCTGGGATTTTGATGGGCAACTCCCTTGGTGCCCCAGGCGAAGCTTCGCTCCCTTGCGGATGCCGACACCGACGCCACAGCGCAGGGTCCGGCGCTGGCGCATTGCGCCGAGCGTGGCCTGGAGGTTGGGCTGACTGATATGGGTGAACTGTGGATATATTGTGATATTGTTATAATTATATTACAATATCTATAGCTCATCTAGTTAGTTCTTAGTTCACATAGCTAGTGATTTGATATTATCGTAATAATGATAGTTAGTGATCAGGTATGATATGATATTATGATAGATTACCTACAGTCAGTGATATCTATATTTAGTGATATGATATGATATGATATGATATCATATTGTCATAGTAATGATAGATCTAATGAATGATATAACTATTAATATCTATAATTATAGAAATGCATTTTCACATATATATACAACATAATGGGCTAGATATTATCTATAGTTTGTGAATAATGAAATTAGTTACTATATATATATACACCATAGTTCACCATTGTATATATATACATAGATATAATCTATTAACATCTATTACCAATCTAGTGATCTACATATGTTCTACGACCTATACTCAGTACTAGTTAGTTGGGCTTACAAACCAACATTCTAAGTCGGAGGCAATACCTTAGTGATTTATTGGTTGTTTGAGAGAAAAGTGCCATGGTGAAGAATTGGATTGGATTAACTCAATCCTTGGTGGATGGGAATGATCAATCCATTTTCAGTTCTGGATTCCGATTTACCCATTGTGTTTGGAGTCTGATTTTTGGATGATTGACCATGCAACGTATACTGTACGTTGTTTTGTCCCTAGCACATATATAAGATGATAATAATAAGTTATATGACTGGGTTATAGCCATGATTAGCCTAGTGCTCCAAATACCATCTGAGAAAGTGGTTGGACCCCTAAAACCAAACCCAAATACAGTCGTAGAAGGTGTTTGGAGCAGCTAGGGCAGGGCAGTAGGGTTGGTAATATTGGGAAATAGTTGTTTTCTCTTCCACCAACGACTGGGTTTAAGCCTGATTGAGTGTGGCTGAACATGCCAAGTACCCTCAAATTTGACAGCTTAAAACCGCATTTCCCCTATCAAGCTAGCCAGAACTGGGGGTATACCAAGTATATCCAAGTATATATTCGAACACACCCATATAGAACTGAGGATATTCCAGTACTGTAACTAGAGAGATTCCATGAATCTATTAGCACCACTTATATATATAATGGAATATCTCACATTTGCAGCACGTGGAACAGTGGACTGTCGCTTGAGCCGGGAATATTCCAGTCAAATCCCTTTAAGTTCTATGACATACGGGTATGTATTACAGCAACCCAACAGCAGGTTCCAGGGTTTCAGCATTGCAGGGTTCCAGAGTTCCGGTTCTGTTCGATTGAAACACAACAATCACTGCTGCTGGTAAGTCACTGCCGCTGGTAAATGGAGATTTTATACACGCAATAAACACGGGTGACAATAAATTTGACGAACAACACGATATAGACAACTAGAATCTGAGTATTGGGGATGTCACCAATAAACATTGAGACAATGGTGTGATGCTATACCAGAGATTCCTTTTCCAAATGGTTGGTTGAGGAAAACAAAGAGGTTCCCTGCTCAGTCGGGTACTTGGGTACTTGGGTGATTCTATCACTTTTGCAGTTTCTGACTGAGATGGACTAGGGAGCCAGTCGTGGGTATAATTACAGGTCAATTAAAACAAGGATAGGGAACTGCTATATAATGTTCCCTCTGGTAAACTAACATAGCTATTGAAAATGGTCATTTTTAATGGGAACCCATTAAAAATGGTGATTGTCCATAGTTTTTTGTATGTTTACCAGAGGGTACATGAGGTTGTGTAAATGACCCCTTCAACACTACAGCCCTGTAGAAGCCGATTAGAACTTGAATTGCATACCGGCAGGTCTGTGTTCAGCTCCTGTTGCAAATGTCGCTCAGCTGGTCAAGACATGTTTCTTGTTTGGGGGAAGGACATGCCGCACATGCCATAGCTTAGACAAATGATAATAATGATACCCTCTGGTAATTTAACATAGCTATTGGAAATGGCCATTTATAGTTGATTTACCCATTAAAAATGGTGATTTTCCATAGCTATGTTAGTTTACCAGAGGGTAATGACATTTCAAACACTATCTGTTTTGGATTCATTCTAGAGTCATTACACTGTTTCTTCTCCCTTTTAACCGATACATGTTCATCCCCTGTGATGAGTCAATGCTGGTCTCCTGTCAGAAAAAAAGGTTTCTTCTCTGTGAATCTGACTTTCGTACGTTCAAGTTTGAGTTTAACAGTTGTTTAATGTTGTTTAAAAGACTCCTTGCAGATGTCCACTTGCACCCACACAACTGCATCTAGCTGGTGGTTTTGAGCACTTGCCATTTCTATTCTGACAAAGGTGGTTTCCATAGCTGTTGGCAACACAAATGGGGATGGGTCAAAACCAATATTTGGAGAAAAACAACGATATCCATCGATATCCTAATATTTACCAGCTATTTGACCCCTATTTACCAGCTATTTTACCCTAGGTAAATATGGGATATCCCAATATGTGGTACCCTATTTGAGGCATTTTGAGGGTACCTAGGGTCATTTTGACCCCTAAGGCGGGCGGCCCCCGACTCCTGCGGCCTGCGGAAAGTGGCCAGCAGCCAGGTGGGACAAGCCTATTGACAATGGTTTTGGAGTCCAATGGATAGGACAACCATTTTTTCAGATCATGTTTTTTTTGAGTCCATGGTTGTATGATGTTGTATGACTATGGGCACGAAAGAGATAAGGGAAACACATATGAGAAACACCAAAAGCTAAGGAGAAACCATAGCAATTTGGATGGGAATTTTCACCTCATCAATCCGCTTCTGTTCCTATGAAGTACAGTAGGAAACAAGCCCTGAAACATGATGAGTTCAACATGGAAAACAATGTACAAACCATTTATGTATGGGGCAATCATGGAGACCCTCATGTGTTCCATGATCAAAACTTTGGGTAAATTGCCCACATTGATGGATAGTCATCAACCATCATCAACCCCATTAGTGGGGATATATAAGGGATTCATAGATTCATGTGTTTTCCAGCATGTCCGATGATGGTGAATGATCATATAACCCATATACAATATACAGTATATCCATATATTTCCAATATACAGTCCATACACATTCCATATGGGAGTGTGTAAAAACCCCACGCCTATTCGTTTAGTCTTCCATGATCCCCCATGAGCATCCATGAGCCATTTTGAGCTTTCACGCGAAAAAACGATAAGAGAAAAAAACGATAACGTTGAACGTTGGTTCTGTTAATGATCTGTGTCCAGACTCTTGAAATCAAATGCGTTTTATTTTTCCGTCGTTCTGCAGCTATTTAGTGTTGTTGGTTTCTTCATTTCATTTGTTTGTTGTCGTAATGGCGCGCCAACGAATGCGTGTCAGATTCTGCACAAGGAAGGTGCCTGGTAGGTGGTTGCTACACTCCTTTGTTGATGATTGCAGCCATTTCCAGAAAAACGGAGCGTACACAGGATTCACGAACGATAACAAAACGATAACGAAAACGATAACTTTTGGGATCAAAAATGGTCCGTGTGAGACACGGCCCTTTTTTTCCTTTTCCTCTCCCTTGCCTCTCCTTTTTCTTTTCCCTTCCTTTTCCTTCTCCTTCTCCTTTTTCCTTTCCTTTTTCTTTCCTTTTTCCTTTCCTATACCTTTCCTTTTCTGTTCCTTTCGTTTTCCTTTCCTTGTCCGTTTTCTTTCCTTTTCCTTTCCCTTTCCTTTTCCTCTCCCTTTCCTATTCTTTCTTTTCCCTTCCTTTACTCTTCCTTTTCCTTTTCCCTTTCCTCGCTCATGTGAATCCTTTGGTCAAGGTGTGAAGCCAGCGCTTGGAAAAACAAGTGAAAAACGATAAGAGGAAGAACAATATACATTCCATATACATTCCATTTACATGCCATGTACATTCCATATACATTCCATATAAATTCCATATACATTCCTTGTTGCAGGT